AGTTGCTTGGAGAATGACCAGCCCAGAAGCTGGTTCTGGGTCAGGTAGCCTGAATGGCTGGCTGTGCTGACATTGCTCCCAAGGGTACTTGTCCTCCACTTAACATGGGCTTGGCAAATATTTATGGATCTAATAAATGTCATTCTTTTTTCTTTAACCTTTATAAAATATGGAGTATCAATTAGAAGGTTTGTGTTTATTTTCACCTAGAGTTAGTGCTCTCTCTCCCGGGGTTTGTCCTTCCTCACCTCTGCTGGGGTCCCTTTTCCTTACTACTTGTGAATTAAAACTGTATTTTTTTTGATTGAGACTTGTTTTGTATGGTTTTTGTTGGTGGTGGTGGTGATGATTTTCTCTGACTCAGATTTTTACATTGTTGCTCTTTTGTGATCCTGCTTATCTGGAAGCTTCCTGTGTTGTTTCTCACTTTGCTCTCTTCCCAGAATTTAACAAATAGCTTATTTTAAGTATAATGAGAAAATGTAGTGAATTAGTTGTATTGCCCTTAGTTATGCATAGATCTACAGATTTTAAGCTCAGTGAATTTCCACAATGTATGCAGAGAGAAATTAAGACAGATTCCCTCTAAAAGGGGAATGTCTTAACTGTATTTTGTACAAGAGACCTCTAGTCCTGCCTGCCTTCCCACTGAGTGAATTTCTATTGCGATTAAAATAAAATAAATTTTAAAGCATCCATTCTCACAGACTTTTATGTGGTAGTAATGAAAAGTGAATGACACAAGTACAATGCCCCAGACACTGTAAATGGAAGTTAGCAGGAAATACAAAGAACAGACTAAGCTGGGGGTAGCCACAGCCTGGGGGCCACATGGGGCCCTTAGCCTCGTTTTGTATGGTCCAGGGGTCGAGAATGATTTTACATTTTTAAATGGTTAGACAAAATCAAAAGAATATATTTCGTGACGTATAAAATTGTATTTTTGTTTCCATGTCCGTAAATAAAATTTTGTTAGAATACAGCCACGCTCGTTCATTTAGGTGTTATCTCGTTATCTCGGGTGACTTTTGTACCACAGCAGACAGTAAAGTATGGTCTGCAAGCCAAGAACGTTTACTGTCTGTCCCTTTGCAGAGAAAAGCTGACTCCTGGACCAAACAGTAGATTGTACCTGCAGTAGCACATGTTCAGCCGCAGTAGCTCATGTTCAGCCTTGTAAAAATCATCAAAAAGTTCATTTTGGGGCTGGCCCGGTGGCGCAGTGGTTAAGTTTGCACGTTCCACTTCAGCGGCCCAGGGTTTGCAGGTTTGGATCCTGGGTGCGGACCCATGCGCCCACTGCTTATCAAGCCATGCTGTAGCAGGCATCCCACATACAAAACAGAGGAAGATGGGCACGGATGTTAGCTCAGGGCCAGTCTTCCTCAGTAAAAAGAGGAGGATTGGCGGCAGATGTTAACTCAGGGCTAATCTTCCTCCAAAAAAAAAAAGTTCATTTTATTTTTTGCCCAATAACTGACATATTTCTCAATAATATTGGGTGGGATAATGACCCTGGAAAGGCGAAGTCTGTCTATTCAAGTTCATTTCCCCATCAAGAAATCCTTGCTGGTAGGGTAGGGGAGAGGCATAAATGCATGCATATTTGTAAATGTTGATTGATTTGTTTTATTCTGTGAACAATGAATTTTAAGAAGCTTTTTAAAATTTTGTTTTGACTATTTATTTTGCTGATAAGTTTGGCTCTGTCATTCATAAAAGCATAGACACCTATATACAAAACCTTTGATGCCAGCAGAGAATGTGTTATAAAATTCATTGTCTCTCTTTATGTTCACCAAAAAACATTGAACTAAGATCCCTTGTGACCACCCTTAATTTAATCCCTTCTTGCCTGTGGAACAACTGGGCAGATCCAGTAACTGCTCTCCAATTTCAAGCAAGGGTCAGTCAGACCAGTTCTGAATGGCCTAAGCATTCATAAAAGAAAGGAGAACAGCCTTTTCAAAATATGGACACTGTTTTCCATAGTGGTTGCACCAGCTTGCAGTCCCACCAGAAGTGTATGAGGGTTCTCTATTCTCCACATCTTCTCCAATGTTTGTTATTTCTTGTCTTGTTAATTAAGTCAACAATTCAAATAGATTTCTGCACCCCAATGTTCATCACAGCATTATTCACGACAGCCAAGATGTGGAAGCAACCCAAGTGCCCATGAAGGGATGAATATCTAAAGAAGATGTAGTATATATACACAATGGAATACTACTGAGCCATGAAAAAGACAAAATCATGCCTTTTGTGACAACATGGATTGACCTTGAGGGTATTATGCTAAGTGAAATAAGTCAGATGGAGAAAGACAAACACCATATGATTTTACTCTTATGTGGAAGATAAATAAACACATAGAAAAGGAGGACAGATTAATGGGTATCAGAGGAGAAGGGGGTGGGAGGTGGGCAAAAGGGGTAAAGGGGCACGCATATGGTGATGGATAAAAACTAGACTGTTGGTGATGAACACAAGGAAATCTATATACAAACTGACATATAGTAGTGTACACCTGAAATTTACACAATATTATAAGCAAATATGACCTCAATAAAATAATTAAAAGATAAAATATAAGCACATGATTTCTTAAACAAATGACTCAGTCTGTTGCTGTTCTTTTTCTGATATTTGCTACTACCAGATTTTCTCCTCCTCATTTCCACCACGCCTCCTTCAGCCCTCTGTCTTGGTGGCTCTTCCGTCTAACTGCATACTGCATTGATGTTGCTGCATTTCATTGGCTTCTACTGGGTGGATTCCTGCTCGCTTGCCTGGGTTCCTGGTCAGGATCAGTCACACTGCATGAGCAAGGCTGTCATTGGCCTGTATGGTGCATTTAAGCCATCTCTCTTTTATCCTACCTCCCAGATACCTGGTTTCCATCTTCCGTTCTTCGGAAGAAGAATCTCCTTTCAACACAGTGAGAGATGTCTTGCCAATGTGAGAGCATTGGGAACCTGAGACTGGCTGGCAGGAAAAGGAAAGAAAGAGAAAAGAAGAGGAAGTGGGAGTCGCCCTGAACTGGCCTCACCCATTTTCAGTTTGTCTTGCTTCTGTGCATTTCTTTAGAACTCTTTTCTCTTGCTTTTTCATGTAGAATAGGGGGAGAAAACAAAAATTTGGGGGCATCTGTGATGTTGCAGGCACAGTGGTTAGTGCTGTGCAGCCGACAGCTCTGTTATTGTTAAAGTTCTTCATATGGTGGGTGCACCTGTCGCCATTCTGCAGATGAGCAGACTGGGCCTCGGCCTGTTCGTAACCCAAACACCGCCACAGGCAGCGAGTCGGGGAGCTGGATCCGAAGCCAGGGAGCAGTCGCAGACGGCAGCCAAGGAGCTGATTGCGCTCGGAGCCTGGGGGACCAGGGAGGCTGCTGGAGCACATCCTAACGGGAAAGTCACGTGTAGAAGCAGGAGGCAGCGTGAGGAAAGTTACAAAGATACAGTTTTCACTGAGCTTTTTTAACTTCTCTGTTTAACAGAGAGGGTCGCAGGCCAGAGGTTGTGGGTAAAGAGAGGCCCAAAGAGCTGAATACATCTATTCTCCAACAGTGACTGGAGCCTGTTATAATATGAATAATAAAATAACCAAAGCTGGAGTGATGATTTGAATACCGACGTAAAGAAGTCCACTGTATTATTTAGAAATTAGTTCTTTAAATCTCTTCAAATTATCATGCTTACATTTTTTTGGTTCACAAACTATTTCACGCTGCAAGTTTAGTACATTTTATAGACTTCTAAGGATTTACTTATTAAAACTTATGGAATTGTAAGATTCTAAGGACTTATTCTGTCATTTTAATATTATGTTCCTGTAATTCAGATAATTTTTGTATGCTGCTTTAATTCTAAAACGTGTGAAACGCCTTCAGGATGACGCGCCGTTGCCTTGTAAATAAGGGTTGTCCTCAGCAAAGGCCTGTCAAGTGCCTTCGTGTGTGGAGTTGCGTCCCACGTTGCCCTGTGTGCTGGTCAACCCACGTTCCCCTCCTCCTTTCCTGCTACAGCCCTCCCTTCACAGTCTCTGCATTAAAGCTACAGTGGGCTCCACCTCCAAGTAGGAGACAGGGATTTTCCTCCATCTCCTCCCTTTCTAGGGGGTCTTCGTGCCTCCTCTATGTGTTTCATGCCTGTCTGTCCTTTATGAAGCCCTGCCAGATGCTGCCTCCTCCACGGTGTCCTCACCAGGTTTCCTCCTTCTCTAGTCCTGTAGCACTTGACTGGGGCTCTGTCACGCGGTGCCGTGGGTTAGAGTCGGTCCTAACCACAGCTGTTCCTTTGCTTCCATTGGAAGCTCTTCGAGATTGGCGATCATGGCGTGTTTATATCCCTCATGTGGTAGGCCCCCAATGTACCTTTGATGAATTGGTTTGGCTGTCTCTGAAGGAGCAGACATCTGAAAAATTAAACTTAGCCTTCCAAATGAAAGAATCTGAAATTAAGACTATTAAATAAGTTACGAACTCTTCTCAGTATTAGGGGTGACAGCAGTAGTCTGAAAACTGGCATGTGATCTGGCCACCTTGGCAAGACCTTGTACCTCTTTGAGCCTCAGTTTCCACTTAAATTAAAAAGGGGTGAGAGTAATTGCCTTGCCTACTCCTTCAGGTTTTTATGAGGATGAAATGAGATGTTACATTTGAAAATGTGTTGGAAATCACAAAATTGCTTCAAATATAAAATTGCATTCTTATTTAAGAAAAGTTAATGGGAGTTTAGACACAAACCGTACTGTATAAATACTGTGCACTTAGAGCCCTCAACTTCTGATATAGTTACACTTGTGCCTAAGTGTGCTTTGTGGTTAGTTTTGAGGGGATCATCTGACTTTTACGTCGAAGTCTGTAAAGCCATCTACGATCAATTATGCTGAGGGGGAGATTTGGAAATAGGATCCACTGGGTCTGTCGGAGAGAACCAGTTTATCTTCCACATGATTCCTGCATATCCTAAATCTTGTGTCTATTTGTTCCTTAATAGGCTTCCATCTCTATCACAAGTTGCCCACCATCGTGCCTGAGAGCTGCCTTCTTATAATGGTTGGACTTCTGCTAGGCGGGATTATTTTCGGAGTTGATGAAAAGTCCCCCCCTGCCATGAAGACTGATGTGTTCTTCTTATATCTCCTGCCACCCATCGTGCTTGATGCGGGCTACTTCATGCCCACGCGCCCGTTCTTTGAGAACTTCGGCACCATTTTCTGGTATGCTGTGGTGGGGACACTGTGGAATTCCATTGGCATTGGGGTGTCTTTGTTTGGTATCTGCCAGATTGAAGCCTTTGGCCTGAGTGACATCACTTTGCTCCAGAATCTGCTCTTCGGCAGCTTAATCTCCGCTGTGGATCCCGTGGCTGTGCTGGCCGTTTTTGAGAACATTCACGTCAACGAGCAGCTCTACATCCTGGTCTTTGGAGAGTCCCTGCTGAATGATGCAGTGACAGTGGTGAGTAACTCCAACATGGGGGCCGCCCACCGATTTGCATCAGCTTTCTGACAGTACCGCCTTAAGTGAGACCCTGTAGGCAGAGCATGCACCTGTGTGGTCACACAGCCCTGTGTTTAGAAGGGCTCCTTATTTGGTTTAATGCTCTATGGTCACTGTCTTGAAATGCTTAGTAAATTTTTTAATTTATTATATTCAGTTATTTATTTAGTTAGTTTCGTGTGTGTGTGTGAGGAAGATTGGCCCTGAGCTATTGATCTGTGCCAATCTTCCTCTATTTTGTATATGGGATTCCATCACAGCATGGCTTGATGAGCCGTGTGTAAGTCCACACCCGGGATCTGAACCTGCAAGCCCTTGGCTGGCAAAGTGGATTGTGCAAACCCAACCTCTTCACCACCGGGCCGGCCCTACTTATTTATTTATCATTATACAGTGGGCCCTCGTTTTCATTTTGCACTGGATTGCACCAGCTATGTAACTGTTCTTTGCTTGCAAGGCTCTGCTAATGCCAGAGGAGCATGAACCTGATCGTGACCTTTGTGTCTGAGGATTGCTCATTTAGCATTTTCAAAAGTAATGGTCTTTGATAAGAATTTAAAGGACTTCAGGTCCCAGAATTCGTCTTGAGAAATAATTCTGTCGTGTACAATGTCTGTAATACAAGTGAAGTGGTAATACCTACTAGGTGCCATTCTCCATCGGTTTATTTATTATTTTGTGACTTTAGGCAAATTTGTCATCATGCGCTCACTTCCTGTTACTATTCAGCCAGCATCTCTGGTCCTCACTATTTCCCTGTCTGTGGATATTTGTTCAGAAAATGCAAATTATTTTTAATTCTCACTAATTAACACGTAATTAGAGTCAGAGGCTGTTGTGATCTTAATGTTAGCAGAAGTTACCTCCACCCTGACTTCTGAGCTCAGGCAAGGTGTGGAGGGAAGGGGTGAGGCAGTCTCCCCCTCACTCACAGGCCTGCAAAGAGCTCCCCGCACTGTGAAGGACATTCGGGTCACCGGGAGGTTAACCACTATGCGCATCGGTGACGCTGTTTCACATTCGCCAAGATTCTGTGGTGGTGGTGGTGATATAACCATAGCCATTAAGCTTTTGGGAATGCTTACCTTGTGCCCAGGTCTTTATGACAAACTAGGAAGTAGTTATTCTTTCCATTTTGCAGATAAGAAAATTCAGGTAGAGAAAGATTAATCAGAATGTATTTAAGTAACTTTAGTAATTTATATTACCCTCTGCCTTAGTTCCTATCATTGAAATGTTATTCTTGATTCATTTAAAAGTTAACATAGAAACCAACATTATTCTCTGACAGCCTATATTCAGACCCTCGGATGGAATAAAATATCGTCTTTAAGGATGTCGATTAACTCCATATGTAGTTAGGGAAAACTATGTGTAGAAAATAATTTGTTGGTAAGGAAATCCCGTATCTCAGAATAGCTGCTTAGACAACTGTGTTAAGACAACTAAGTCACCTCACTCAAGTAACAAAATCCACTTCATTTATTCCATTATTCATTAGCAGTGGTTAGTCATTAACTCACCAAGATTAAATTTTAACTGGGAAACTGCCATAGCAATGAAGACATTTTATGACTCATTCTAATGTCCGGAGGCAGCAAGTTTTCCATTGGGACTTATGTTTAATATTACATTTTACCCTTGTTGAGGGAGATTGTGGACACTTCAGTGTGGAATTCTCGTAGTGGAAAGCAAACTTGACAATGAAATAATGACACCATGCCGCATTCCTCCCGGGGCAGTGTAGCAGTCAGGTCAGTTTCAGAGTGGGACACCACGCCTCTACCCTGCTGCTGCTTCTCTTGTAAGAGCGCTCATTCGCACACCTCAGTGGTCCATTCTTTGAATTTGTCAAGAGTCGATCTCAGGAAAGGATCTGGCTCAACTCCAGTTTAAAGTGCACAAGGGCCCCAGGCCTCCCAGAGGCACATCCTGTGCTTCCTCTCAAGAGGCACAAAGCCATCAAATGTGGTTTTATGGATGGAGGGAGGGCTGACTCAGAGCGGGCAGTGGGCCAAATTGAGAGCCTGCCATTCCAGTGCAGGAAGGAGGACAAGGACAGAGAAAGGGTATGGCTGCTCTGTAGATGGGGAAGCCCTGGTTACAAGGCCAAAGCCGGTAAGTCAGGACCCTGCAGGGTTTCACATGGACAAGCCTTCCTCCCTAGGTTCTGTACCTGGGCTAAAAGCTGTGGACCCTCCAAGCCACACCCACAAGATACCAGGGCATGCCCAGGGGGTTTGCCCACCTAACAGCAGAAAATAAACCACCCCATATTTCTTTTACTGAATTAGCTGAATAGTGGACTTAATTGACCAGGTGTTAGGCATAATTAGAACAATGGTGTAAAAAATTATAATTTTGCCTCCTAGTCTAGAACCCTCAAAGAACAGAGGTCAAAATGTTTTATGGGAGATTCTTTGATTCAATTATCTGGCCCTATCTCCAGGAGAGGTGTAAGGAACTCATGGGATGCGGAAAGGTATGAAAAATATGGACCACACTGTGTACAATGAAGATGATGAGTCACTAGGAGTTGCAATTAGGAGAGCAGAGATTAAACAGAGACAATTAATGTTAAAAATGTAGTCTGGAGGATGAGTGAAATAGTAGGTCAGTGCAGTTTAAATTCCTTCCCCAAATCATTGTAAATTCAGTATTGAGCTAGAAGAGTTGAAGGGGAGAAAACATACCGTAAAAATGTCTCAAAGCAAAGAGAAATTGATAAGATATAAATTACAGTCAGACTCTTTGTGTTGTGGTCCAGGGCTATGGTAGATTGTGATTAACGGGAGAAATGACAGTTGAAAAAATAAAGGTGAGACTTTTAAATAGGATTATTGTGCCTTCCCTTATAACAAATATTTTAGGAAAATTTTTCAAAATTTCTCCTATTAGGCAAAGCTTGTGTAGCTTCTCAGTTATCTGAGAAGCCCTGCTGTTTCCACGGTAGTCCGTAATCAAATGACACACTCTCATGCTAATTTCCAGCGTCGTTTCTAGAATATGTTAATGCAACCATTGAATATTCTAGTACATTTTCCAAGAGCGCTTAGAGAGTTTCCTCACTCTGTCATGAGAAGTAGGCTTGGTTAAGGAGAGCAGGCTCTGTGGAAAGAGGTTAGGGATGTCCCCTAATGGCCATCACAGGCTGTGCAGTGGAAGTTAAGTTCAGGAGGTTGGAAGGTGAACAGTGACCAGGTGCAACTTAAATTTTGCTCTTGCAAATAGCAGAATAGATTTAAAACTCCTTAGGCAAAAATTATTCTTCTTTGTGTTTAATATCACAAAAAGTGACTTGAAAGCTGTTTTTCTGGAGCAAAGCTATTCTGATAAAGTGTATTGTGTGCATCCTTGTGGTACATGATTTCACTGAATTATTGCATCTTTGAAATCAAAGTTTAAAATAATTTCTAATTTTAATGTATGTTAGTGTTTTAAAAATTAAAATAATGACTAGAGAGATTTAAAGGTACTCAGCTGTCAAATGAGCCCATTACAGAATTTAGCAGTGAGGCATCCCGGCATTTCAGTCTTGCAAAAATACAGTTGTCAAGTTGAGGTCAACTTTGCACAGACCCACTAAAGACATAACTGTAGCCAACATACATAATACATATATATGTACATATGCATATACATATACATATATAAATTATAACTCCACAAGCGCTTTATAGATTCCTTTATGTACAATTAAACAGTTTAACTGGAATGAACAACTATGGGTTATGGCCAGTTGTAACTCAAAGAATTTTACCTTGTGTAGATTACTAGGTATCAGGTTCAGTGTAAAACAGGTGGGAGGTTGTAGAAAGCTCTCTGGTTGTCAAGGTAACGTCTCTCCCTGAGATATTTCCTCAGAATGTTGCCCTGGCATCTGAGGCAGCAGAGCCATCGAGTGGAGCTTCTGATCGGTGCACTGAGAGTCAAGTGCCTGTGACTCAGCTTTGCTTTTGGCAAAACCTAAAGGGGTATTAAACACAGAATGTACCTTTGATAGAATTGATGGATCGAGTTGCCAGGATAATGGCTCTGGAAAGATTATGACTATTTGCTGGTTGTCCCTTAGGCCTGAGTTCCTGAGCTTCCTTCGGAGGCCTCCTCACTGTGCTAGATGGGGCAGGGCTGGGGAGCTAAGCAAGAGGGGAGCAGAAGGAGGCTTAGGTTCTGTGCACGAGGAGTTCCTCATTTTGCTGGAAATGAGGTAGGCGCTCCAGAGGCAGCATCAACAATACAGGGTTGCCTATCAGCAAATGCTGAATGGTTTGGGGGATCCTCTGTGTTGTGGGAGGGTAGAGGAAAGGGCGGTTTGCAAGGGCTGTAGGAATCCGGGAAGGCTCCTGAGAGAAGAGCAGCTTCAGGTGGGCCATGGAAGACAGATAAAGTTTCTTAAGGTTTAGGGGCTGGGTTTCTGCCGAGAGAGACCACAGGAGGGAAATCAGGGGCAGAGATGAATAAATATGGTGTGTTTTGCGGAGCAATGATGAGACCCTCTCTTGGTCTGAAGGGGCTTGGAAAGCAGTGAAAAAAAATGTGCCAGGTGTATTGAATGTTCCCAAAGTCAGGCAGTCAAAGATTTGAAACTTGAGAGTGAAAAATGGAACAGTAGTGTTTAAAGGAAGTAAGTATTGTGGTGGCTGTAGGAGACATTAGAACAACAGAGAGGTGAGATGTGCTCTGCAAGCTGGAGGCAGGGAGAGCAGAAGCTGTGGAATCTGGAGACAGAACTGTGATGCTCAAGTGGCCTGCAGGAGGCTGTCTGTGCAGAGACCAGAGACGGTCGGCCAGGAAATCTGTCTCCTCGCGGAGCAGGTGACTGCCACCTTTTGGCCTTGGCTGTTTGGAGGCAAGGGGTATATATAGCGCATCTCTGATCCCCTCTCAGGAAGCAATTGTGGCATGTTGATGCTATGAAATCCCGCATGTGCAGCAAGCCCCTGGTTGAATGTAGGAAGCAGCTGCTTCTTGAAGCCAGTTTCTTTGCTGGCAAATGATGATACCGTCAAGATATTTAAGTCCTCAGGGGAGCGAGTTGCTTTTGTTGTCTCTTCCTCAAGTCACCTCTTGGTGGTACAGTACCAAATGCTCTTGAGTGTTACCCCAACAATTAGGAGAAAGGAAAAGCTCGCTTGTTTCTAACTAATAATCCACCGCTTTTTTTCAAACCCAGCAGACATTTATTGTCTCTACTAGGCAGCAGGGGAGACGTCAGTCATGATAGGTGTGATCCTTGACCATCAGGAGTTTATGATCCTCTAGAAAAGAGGAAAAAATTACACAAAAGCTGCGATGTAGTGGGCTGTAAGGGACCGTAAGTGAAGGAGAAGTGAGTGAGTGACGTTTCCAGGACACACTCTGGTGAGCGAGCAGAATCTGACTCATTCTCCACGGTGGAACCTTGAACAGCTTACCTGGAAGGTCAGGAGACTGGATTCTGATATCGCCTCTGACATTTTATGTGACTGTGGGCAAATGGGTTCCATGCTGAGTTTCTCAGAACCCAAATAAAGGTGTAGCACAGCCTGCACCCTAAAACACCTTTGTCCCCAACGTCCTGTCAACTGGCCTTCCTGAAGATTCCAGCTGTAAATGTCACAATGAAAAGAAAAGAAGCAGGGCACCTGCTTGGCTTGTATTTTACTTGTTGATTTTGTGAAAAAAGTGGTAGAGCATGAGCCATCACTCCCCGTTTCGGTTGGTACAGTGACCCTTAGACGCCAGTTTGAAAGCGTATCCCCCAGCAGAGTGAAGTGCCTGGCATTTCTGAAGCCTTAATTAAACCAGGACTATGTAAAGGCTGTGCTGATTTTAAAAAACTGGGCAACAAGGTAGGCTCATTACTTTAGAGGGACAAAATATGGATGAAGTTACACCATGTGCGCACACACACGCACACAACACAGGTTCCTGTCTCTTTGCTTTAGGAAGATTCCTTCAGGTCTCATGTTACAGCAGACAGGAGTATATGTCGGTGAGGTAAGGAGGGGAGTGAAGAGTGAGGATCTCAGTGATTTGGGAGGAGGGTATCTTCAGGTGGGGTACCTGTACTGATGGGTGAGTCCCTTTCATGGTGTGACCCCACAATAGGGCCTTGAAAGGTAACGAAATTCACAGCAACACTGACCAGCTTTCTCTGTGACACACGACTTCCCAAGCATCGGTAATGCAAGCAGAGTGTGTTGATGGCAACCAAGTCTTTTAAAATAATCTTTTCGATGGTATCTAAAAATAAGGTTTTAGGAGTAAATCGTATAATAATTTTGAAGTCTCCTCTCCCTCAACCTTAGAAATAGTTTTCTTGACAGCACACTTTTACCTAAGCTTTTTGTTTAAAGGTATTAAAGACAATATAAAATATGAGACAAGTAAATATACAGTTATTGACACTGATCATCACTTTAGTACACAGAAGAAATGTCCTTATTAGAAGGCCAGGTAGATGTTTCTGTGGCCACCATGAACATGGGGAAGTTGGAAGGGGTCTTGACAGTGTGCTGCCTTTCTCCCACAGGTCCTGTACAACTTGTTCAAGTCTTTTTGCCAGATGAAGACCATTGAGACCATTGACGTGTTTGCTGGAATCGCGAACTTCTTTGTTGTGGGAATTGGTGGGGTGTTGATTGGTGTCTTCCTGGGATTTATAGCGGCGTTTACGACTCGGTTCACACACAACATCCGAGTGATCGAGCCGCTCTTTGTCTTCCTGTACAGCTATTTGTCCTATATAACAGCCGAAATGTTTCACCTCTCGGGTATCATGGCGTAAGTATCGAATTCTTTGTTAAGAGCACTTCTTGATGACATTCATTGAATTCACGTATTCTAAGCTAAGATGTCAAAGTTGAATAAGTTATAAAAAAAAGTAGGTTTTCTCAAATTCTTAAAAAAAAATTAAAAGTAAGTTTTCCTTACTCTTTGTTTCAAAGAAATGAAAATATGTATCAGCCAAATTTATACTAAAGTGATCTGGTGCTAAGATGGAAACCTACTTAAAAGTTACCCCTTGGTCTCATGTGAAATATGACGGTAAACTGTTGGGCACCAAGAATTGTCCGAGTTTGGTGCCCATTCAGTGTTGGCCATGTGGGAGGCTATAAACTTGTTCCAATAAGATTGTCACCCAAACTGCACCTGGAGTTCTGGAATTGCTTGTGTGTGTGCCTTTGAATAATGTGAGGACTTATAGAAAACCTTCACTTTGTATGAGAGATTTGGTTTGATATAACAGCTTTAAGTCATTGAAAGCAAAGCTCAGTGAATAAGGCATGTAGTCATGTAATTGTAGTGTAGCTTTTTAAATGAAGAGGTATGATTATGAAGCCAGAAATATCTAAAGCAAGAAATTTGTCATTTATTAAAGGTACGGTTAGTGTATCATTCACTGACTGATTCAGAAGGACATCCTGAGACAGGTCTGCAAGGGGGCTGAGAGCGATGGAGTTTGGTTCCAGGTTTAGCCTCTGGAGGGTCACTCGGAAGGAGGCTGCTTGTTGGGTGTGTTATTTTTGTAGCTTCTCAAAACAAGCCTATTATATTATGGTCGCACCGTCATAGGGATGGTGAGAAATACTGAGTAATGGACTGTCTTTAGAAGTTTTTCTTTTGACAAATATTTATCTATAGCTTAATGCATGCTAGACTCTATACCAGGGTGTGCCATACCTATGTAGAGTTTCGGTGTTGTAAACATAGGCTAGTTCTTCTTGAAGTTTTCTCCTGTAAGCCAGTTTAGGTGGTGCTTTGATTAGGGACTGTTTGTTTTCTGCCTCCCAGAAGCCCTTTCATGTCAGACGCAGGTTAGGTTTGTGGTGGAAGGAGTCAAATGCCTCTCCACGAGGAGACTGGAGCCCATTGTAGTGAACACGTGGGTTAAAGGCAGTGCAGTTTTCGGTTTCACAGAGAACCTAAATAAAGCAACATATTAATCCAGTTTGACCCAGTAATGAAATGTCCTGCATCTTCCTGGTTGCTATTCATATCATTTGTATGACTTCCAGTTTCCTCACTGTTCTGTGACCAGTGTCACCGGAAGTGTGTGATCAGCTACTTACAAGGTCTCTAAAAGGATATAGGGGGCGAGACTGTGTCTAGTTTCCCAGCAGCGTTCTAGCAACAGTGGAAGAATCTTGAATATATTTTAACCGCATGCATGTATACAAGTTCTAGAACACCCACACAGTTATCTAACGTGTTTCTCGATTTGCCTGATGCTCAAGGGCAGGAATTGGGACGAGACGATCCAGAGTAGGGGAGATAGTTGAGGTGTCAGATGAGGTTGGAGTCCTGGTGCAGCTCTGCTTAGAAATGTCCCTGAGGATCAGAGTCCACAGAGGTGGGAAGGCTTGTGCCGCATCAAGTCCCCGACCTGCTGTGAGGACAAGACCATGGGTTTGCTTCTCTGGGAATTAGGAAATCAGGGATAAGTAGGGCCACACATTCCTGGTAAATAGCACAGGTGATTCTCTGCTGTGGTTCGTTGGTGGATGACAAATATCGCCTTTGTTTCCAACTTCAGAGTGAACGTTTATTTTACAGCAAAGTCCTTCATTACATTCAAACTAATATTGTCATTGCGCATAGTGCACTAAAATAATAAAATAACCATGTAACAAGGCAGTACAGGACATTTAAACATTTTTGGACTTGGAATTACCACGCACACCCATTATCCTATGATAGCCAGTGAAGGGACAGGTTGATAGTGGAGTGAGTTTGTTGTCAGAAGTCACACCATTTTCTAACGTGGGGTGATTAGTATGCTATTCAAAGCCTGACCACGTGCGACACCTCATAGATGTGCGTGGCCCTCTTTGAAAAGTGCATTGTATGCGCTTCCACGTTGTAATTACTGTAGTTACCTTGGGATGTTAGTCCAGGGGATCCAGTTAATGATGTAATTAAAATTGCACATCCATGTGCACCTCTTTTATAGAACTAGTAATTACTTTTGCATTTAAATTGTACCGAGTTTAGAAATTCCTGTCATACTTCATTGCTAATTTCACTTTCTTTTGCCATTTAAAACCAGATTTTAAGGTTAATGGGAGTGAAGGCATGTGATGTGCTGAGCATGCTCGGTAGTTTCCCTTGTTTGTTTCAGAGAAATGGGCAGCCATCTAGAAAGCGAAACAGGCAGAGAGGTTAGGCAGCTGGTGAGCTGGGAGGAAGAATGAAACATCTCTCAGAATTTGTACAACACTGTAGACTTGTGAAGCTTGTCCACCTGGGGTTTGCGTGCTGTCTTCCCTCTTTCACCACTACCTTCTTCCATCCATTTCTCCTTCTTCTCCCTTCTTCTGATTGCTTTTTCTTTCTTTCTTTCTTTCTTTTTTTGCTTGAGGAAGGTTATCCCTGAGTTAACATCCGTGCCAATCCTCCTCTCTTTTGTATGTGGGATGCCACCACAGCGTGACTTGATTGCAGTATGTAGATCCACGCCCGGGATCCAAACCCATGAACCGCAGGCTGCCAAAGCAGGGCGCGTGAACTTCACTACGCCACTGGGCCAGCCCCTCTGGTTGCTTTTCAGATCCTGTAACCCTCTGCTTCAACTCTGTCTCGAGTAGACTCTTGGGTAGCCTGTCCTAGAATGAGATCACTTAATGAGCAAGTAGTTCATACAAAAATTAGATTAAAAATGAAACATCCTTCTATATAAGAGAAGACCTGGCTTTGCATTCAAACCACCATCCGTCTTTTAGGCAGGAAAGTACTGGGCGGGATTTCAGCATTGTGATTTCTTTGGAAAGATGTTGGAAGTGGTGTATCTCGGGCATTCACAAAGCCTACCATTGCTGCTGTTTATTTTATGTCATGAAATTGTGGTTTGATACGATTTTCACTGACAAGTAACTTACTCAAAATGAGGTGGAGTTATATCTGTCTTCTCTTCTGTCCTGTTAGCTACTGGGACAGCTGACTTCTGGGCATCCTTAGATTTGGTTTCTCTTTTGTGGTCTCTCTTAATACTTCAAAACCTAATTTCATGTTAAGGACTTATTTACGCTCATGTCTTCCTGTGCGTTCAGGAGGGTTTTATCTTCAGACACTAAGAGAGATGAAATTCCCCGTTTTCTAATATTCTTCTCCTTTCTATCCTGGCATAACTCATTGCAGTAGGCACAGCGTGTGCGTGTGCGTGTGTTTCAGAGTGCATTTCCACAGCACTAGAGCTAAAGGTAAGGGAACAAGAAAGGTCACATCTCCATAGCACCGGACACCTTCAAGGATCACAGCACTGCAGTAGAGGCCATAGAGGTGGCTCGTAGCTAATGATTTTAGAAATTCGTGTCTTGGCTCGTGTGTTTGGGCTTTATGTTCAGAAAGTGCTCAGAGATAAAGCACTAATGGTTCCCCGTTGCCCTCTTTCTGTCCCCAAGGACACTAGTAGATGCCTAAGATGATTCCTAAAGCAGACCCACACAGAACTGAACTGATAGGGGGCTTTGTTGCCCCCTGTGGACATCAGGCACCTTCTGGGCCCCACCTTATGCCACACAGTGCCCCATGCTCCAGTCAGTGGGACGTTGAAAACACACTGTCTCCAAAAGTGGGGTGCTTGGTCTCCACAGCAGCTTGCAGCCTGCCGAGCAGATGCTGTTTCTCTTTGACGTGCTCCAGGAACTTCAAAACCTGGCCAACTCTTGCTTCAGACGGGACAGTTGGCACCCAATGGTTCTTAGTTTTGTTTTCATGGATTAATAATTCCTAGTCTCTCTTCCCTCAAGCGTACTTCAGAATTTTCTGTTTGCTGTGTCAATTATTCTAGCAGCATTATTACAAAGAAAGTAGGAGATGGTCGTTATTAGCCTCATCTCATGAATGAGTAAATTGAGGCCCAGACGGGCAAAAACATGGCCGTAGGGCTACTCTGTGGAAAGTGGGACTTGTACCTGTGTCTCCAGTTGTCAGGCCAGTCCAGGATATGTCTCAATGTCCACATTAGAAATAAAACCGAGCACATTTCAATGAAATTTTTAAAATGAGACTTCCACGGGAATTTCCAGAACAATAGTCTCAGGAATGAAGTCTGGGAGCAGACCAAGCTAGCCGGACTGAGGCAGTCACTGCCGAAGATGTGAAGATCGTGTTCTTTCTTCTGTTTTTCCTTGTATGAGTTGCTAATTCTCATCTATTTAAAACTTTGAGCAAAGTAGCCATGCATGCCTTCGTTTGTCATCTTGTAGCGTCTATCCTGGTTCCCTTTGGTGTGCCCAGCATGTGTAGCATTGAGGAGACCGTCTCTTCAAGATGCAGTCATAGCAATCATAACCCTATGTGCCACAATGGTTAGTCCATGGCTACTAGTCTTCTCAAAAGACTGAGAAAAATGAGCACGTAACAGTGCAGGACATTGATAACACATTACACAAAGCATCATGTTTGGTTGTTTCTTTTGAGCGTAAGACAGGTTTTCTATTAATTTTTGCTAACGTGCTTCTTAGTGTGAGAATGTGACCTGGAGCTTTAACAAAACAATCTGGATAAACAAGCTGGATGAATGCTTGTCTGCATACAAATCATCAGGTATCACACACTCTCTGGCCTGGCCACCTGTAGATCCAGTTGGTCTTAAAACCTGTTTAAACAGAGAGCAAGCAGACCACATCAGCTTATTTCCAGTTTGAACTTTAAACCTCAAATTCACAGCGCCACCCCCCCCCCCCCATGCTCCCTGGCACACACACAAAATTTTTAGAGGAAATGGCCATTAAGGACTGAGTCACTTGCATAAGAATTGGCTTAATCCTGCAGGCAGCGCT